TACCCATAAACTCAATGGGAGGGAAAAAAAAGAAACAAAATTGTTTCAAAGGAATCAGATTAGGATAGAATTTAAAAAATGGAAAATAAAATGCAAAAAAATTTTTTTAATGTTTTTGAAACGGAGTCATTTTTCCTTTGTGCTTCAATGTATTTGTACCTGTGCTTTGATGTTGTATTTAAGAAACATTTTTATTTAAGATATTACTTAGGAAACTATTGTATTTAAGAAACTGTTGCTGAATCCAATGTCCCTCCATGTTTTTCTAAGGGTTGTATAGTTTTAGCTCTTTGTCTTTGATCTATTTAGATCTTTGATCCATTTGAGTTAATTTCCGTATATGGTGTGAGGTAGAGATCCAACTTCATTCTTTTGTGTCTGGATATCTGATTGTCATAGGACCATTTATTGAAGACTAAAAAAAAAAAAAGGGGGGTGTTTCCTCCATTGGTCATTTTGGTACCTAATTGACCAGTTATGGCTGGGATCTAAAATATCCACCAAAAAGTCTCACCGTGTTGAAGGTTTGGTTGCTGGTGGGCTTCTGGGAAGTGATTGCTTTAATTTCACTGGTGGATCAATGCATTGATAAGATCATAATTTGGTGGCGCTACTGGGAAGTTATGGACACTTTGGAGGTGGGGCCTGCTTGGAAGAAAGGGGTCCCTAGGGGCAGGCCTCTGCAGCGACTATCTTTTCTCAGATTTTTCCCCTTTCACTCTGCTTCCCAGTGGCCATGAATCAAGCAGCTTGCCTCCTCTGTGCCTTCCTACCATGAAATCTCTGCCTTGGAGCCAGTGTGCCATAGACTGAAACCTCTGAAACCACAAACCCAAACAAACCTTTTCTCTTTTACGTTGTATGCATCAGGTATTTGGTCCCAGCAATGGAAAGCTGACTGATGCAACCATACATTTATGAGTTTATTCTTGGACTCCCAGTTCTGTTCCATTGAACAGTAATTCTACCACGCAAAAGAAAGGAGGAGCCACCTGTCTCTACTTAATTTTAATTTCGGATTCTGGGTGTTTTTGGACCTGGTGGAATTTCTGGTTTTCAGAGTTTGAAATATAACATTTTTGAGTCCGGCGTGGTGGTGCACCCCTGTAATCCCAGCTCTTGGGGGGCTGAGGAAGGAGGATCTCTGCAAGTTTAGGGTCAGGCCAGCCTGGAATACTGGAATATATAGTGAGCCCATGTCTTAAAGAAAAGAAAGAAAGGAAAAGCAGGCAGACATACAAAAAACATGATATATGATGTTTTTACTCCCGAGCATGAGCCAGTTCAAGTGGGTTTCTGCATTCTGTGGCTGGAGAATCACCCCAGCAGCTGGGCTTTCCACTCCACTTCTGTGTGGCACCCAGCAAGGCCAGGCTCTGATGTGCACTGGGCAGGGCAGACATAACCTGGCCACCTGGCAATCCTCCTGCCTCAGGCTCCAAGTGCTGGATTATAGGCGTGTGCCACCGCATCAGGCTCCTATTCACTACGTAACCGCCACTCCCCCAATCCCTGTGACTCCATAGATCTGTCTCCGTGACGTTCTTGTTTCCAGAGGGGCGCTGTAGCACAGCGGGAACAGAACTGCCCCCTGTGAGTCGGAACTCCAACCCTGCCTGCTGCAGATTACCTATCCTCAGACAAAGGATTTACCCCACCTCCACTTCCTCCCCCCTCTCCACTTCCTCCCTCGGGTATAAACCGGGATACTCACCCTGCCCAGTGAGGACCCAATAGAGCCCGAATACAGGGCCAGCCTCCAAAATGCTCTGTAAACACCAGGAAGCCACTTGAAGCAGGAGGCTGGGGCTGGGGAGACACTGAGGCTCTGTGGTTCACTTTCAGGTCCTCCTTGTATTGTTGCCCGAGGTGAAAGTAGAGACTTCTTCCTGGTGGATGCTCAGTTGTCCTCAAGGTGCCAAAGACCTGTGCTTTGGATCTTGCGTGTTCCCCAGAGCCAGCTGGCCCACAGGGTGATGCTGTAGGGAGGAGGCATCAGGTCACTGGGGTGGGGCCCTTGAGGGGAATTGTGGGACCCCAGCCCCTTTCTAGTCTTTTTTTTGTTTGCCTCCTGCCAGTATGTGTGTTTTACCACAGCCCTAAGCAGCGGGCCCTACTGATCAGGCATAGAACCATGAACCAAAAGAAACCTTTTCTCTTGATATTTTGACAGTCTCAGGGGTTTGTTATAGTGCTGGAAAACAGACAGGGGACCCTCTCCTTTCCGCACTTCTGTCATGTGTGTGTGGGGAGGCTATTTCCGGTCTCCCTTCCCCCGTGTGGGTCTTTGTCTCTCCCGCTGATCCCATATTGTCAGAATTACCTTAGCTTGGCAATAGTACGTCCTGATACCTGCTACCTGTCATTCTCAGTGTCTCAGTTCTCCCTGGCCAGAGTGGATTTTGTTTTGTTTTGTTTGGTACTGGGGATCGAATGCAGGACCTTGCACTTGTGAGGCAGGCGTGGTGCCACTGAGCTAAATTGTGGGCCCATGGTTTTTTAAAGCATGTCAGCTGGGGATTCAGCTTAGCAATAGATCACATACTTAGCACCCATGAGAGCCTGGGTTCAGTCCACAGCACCCAAAATATTAAGACCTATATGCATGACTGTGGGAGTGTTCCAGAGGTGACTGGCATGTGTGGCAGTGCACTGAAGGGGGAAAGACCCACCTGACTGTGGGCTTGCAGCCCAGATGGGATGAAAACAGAAGCAGGAGGAAGTCAGCCTGTGTTCAAGCAGCTCCATTCCACTGCCATGGCTTGCGGACACCAGACTCCAGCTTCCTGAGCCTTTCCGCCCAGACTCATACCAGCCACTCTCCAGGGAGCTGCTGGGCCTTCAGTGTCGGGCTGGGGCTGTATCCTGGATCCCTCCTGTGCCGAAGTGTCCAGCATCTACCGGCTCTTCCGGTCTTCCAGTGTGAGGACGGCCCACCTCGGACCCCGTCACCCCATTTAATACATCTCCATATGTGTATATAGGGGAACCCTAAGCGATGCCACATATTTTATTATTTTTTAAATTATTTTTTTGGTACCGGGGATCGAACTCAGGACCTTCCGCTTGCAAGGCAGGTGATGGAACCACTGAGCTAAATCATTGCAATACATTTTAAAATGTGTGCGTGTCAAATCTCTCAGCCTTATCCTTCAATGGGTTATTAGAAGAAAGCCAGATCAGGAATCTGGCTGGGCCTCAGGACGTACTGGAATGGGACCGCAGTTCTTACGGGATCCCGGGCAGCACTTCCTCATTTCTTCTCTCGCCAGCTTCCTCCCGCTCTCCTGCCTCTGTTTTTGTTTTTATTTTGTATTGTACTGGGGATTGAACTTGGGCCCTTGCGCTTGTGAGGCAGGTGGTGGAACCACTGAGCCAAATCCCCAGCCCTGT